TGACATATTTGATCTGCTACATTTAGAAGCTGAACAGAAATAAAAATCCTCTATTGTTTATTCACAAAAAATAATACTTTCCAGAAATCATTTTCAAGTAATCAATTAAATCAGCCTAAAGAAACTGAAGTTTTCAAGAACAGAGGTCTCATTAATGTCACAAACACATTGCTATTTTCCAGTTAGTACCCATCCTACTAAAATTTCATTGAAGAGAACAATCCAGGATGCACAGGATGCATATGTTGATCACAGACTTCTCCCAAATACACTTACCTCATAGGCAGCCCCAAGATCCTGAAATTTTTCCTGTGCACGTGGATCATCAGGGTTTCTGTCGGGATGAAGCTGAAGGGCTAATTTTCGGTAGGCTTTTTTAATATCTTTAACAGATGCACTGCGAGGAACCCCCAAAATCTTATAGAAATCTCTCCTGAAAAACAACAAAGGTTATTGCCTCTTATGATCCTCAAATTAAAAAAGTGGGAGAAAATGTATGTTCTTCTTTGCCATAAGCCTGGGGTATCAAACTTGCAGCATCACATTGTTGTCACGTGATGCATCACAACTTTTTTCCCCTTCGCTAAACTGGGGGTGGGCATAGCTGGCCCACGCGCTGTGAGTTTGACACCCTTGCCATAAGCTGATAATAACAGGAATAGCAAATACCTTGTATTAGAATAGCAGCACATGCTTTTTTGTTAAACATCAGAGCTTCCAAAGTAGGATGTGATACTTTTGGAGCATTGCTTTAGCAATCTTTTTTAAAAAAAGTTTTTTATTTTTTACACAGACATAAACAAAACATAAACATAAAACCATCTCTCAATTACATACAGTGTGTCAGTTGGTACAAATCTCTTGTGCACAATCTCTGCAGTCTTCCTCTTCTAATTTAAATTAATTCTCATACTATAAATCCGCTATATATATTTATATTATTATCATTGTTAATTACTTGCAGACTGTTACTAATATTCCATCATTTTATGTGAGCAAATCACTATTTTTACTTGGCCTACTTTATAACATTCATTTCATCATCACCAATCTATTCAATAATAATGTATCTTTACATTACTTTATCTCTATAGTTCTATTATACTTGTATTATAAAGTATTATAAAATATTTCATTTCCCTATTTTTATCTAACCATTGATAAAATAAATCCCATATCTTATAAAATTGTTTATCTTCTTGCTCTCTAATTTCAAATGTCAGTTTAGTCATTTTTGCACACTCCATTATTTTCTTGCTTTAGCAATCTTGATATGTAACCTGTGAGCTTAAAGCTATAGTTTTAAATATATTCACTAGTCAATTATCACAGTTGGGTTGCATAGTAAATACAGATGGCCTGGATCTAACAACCTTCATTTATGCCCTAGTCACCACATGATTGGATTACTGCAATGCACTCTACCATCCTAGTGCTTCCTCTGAAGAAAATTTAAAACTACAGCTAGTTCAGGACACACAGCATTCAATGTCCTTTGACATGTCAATGATAATCTGCAAACTACACTGGTTACTGGTAAACTTCTGATTATCACCTGTCCTATACAGCCCTTCATGACGTAAGACCAGGTTATTTGAGAACCATTTATCTCCACTGATTTCTGCCTGTTAACTAACATTAATGTGCTCCAGATCCTTTCAGCCAAACAATGCTATCTATTACATAGAATTCAGAAAGTATGGTTCTCTCTGCTGCAATGCCTGCCATCTGGAAAGATCTATGTAGCTCCAACCTTAATAATGTTTTAAAAGTACTTAAAAACTACGACTGTACTCCAACCCCTTCGGATAGGATATTTGTGAATCCTGTTGGTAGAGATTTTGGGGTACATGGGATATGGTGGTCCGGACATTTCAGACTTTTTCTGTTTTTAAATTGTAAGTAGCCCAAAGCAGTTTTGGAACTGGACTGCCTCCAAATCTAATGGACCAAAGGGAAAAAAACTGTAATCCTTATACAACTAGAAAGCTCTAGGCTGAGGAAGCCTGGCATAGGTAGTGTGGCATTTATTTGTTCATTTCAAGGGCTATCTATGCCCTTGAATTTATTGGCAGAAACAGAAAGAAAACTCTTAAATATACATAATTGCACTCTATGTTCTGAATGGAAGAAATATCCTGCCTTTCAATAAACTTTTCAAAAAAGCTTACATTTGTTTTTTTAAAAATAAAAGCATTATATTTTTTTTAAATAAAATGCAATAAAATTTTAAAAGCCTATTAATAACTTATAAAGGAAATAATAATCAGTTATTTAATGACTTAAGTTGTATGCCTTTTGCTATAAAATTATATCAAAAGTAGGTGACAGCTAAGCTTTCCTCAGGAAACATTCCATAATTGGATCCATACTGAGAAAATAAATAAGCAAGAGGGTAGCAGATTAAAACAACTGATTTCAGTAGGGTAGAGGACAGGTAAAAGTGAAAAACATGGATATAGATTCTAGCCACTGAAAAGAAGTAACAGGTCCAAAGAGAATTTCATGACTGAGGCAGGGATTTGAACCTGAGTGGCTATACAGATAGTCCACAATTTATAACAATTCATTTCGTGACCGTTCCAAGTTACAACTGCACTGAAAAAAGTGACTTTTCACACTTACGACCGTTACAGTGTCCCCATGATCACATGTTCAAAATCCAGAAGCTTGGCAACTGGTTCATATTTATGACAGTTGCAGTGTCCTGGGGTCACGTGATCAGCCTTTGCGACCTTCTGACAAGCAAATGGGGAAGTTAGTAACAACCATCTTATTAACTTAACAAACGCAAATGATTCACCGGCAAGAAAAGATGTAAAATGGGGCAAACTGAAATAATGTTTCAATTGAAGCTGCTGAAGACCTGGTTCTGCCAGCGGGCCTAAGGAACCCAGAGCAGGATGGAGTCCATTAAATGGCTTATGTGATCTGCTGTTGCTAGGGCGGGTTGGTTGGGTGGGAGGTGATCTTGTTATATTGTACTATATTAATTTATTTGATTCTTTATGTTAGTTTTGATTGTTTTAAATGTGGTTTTTATAGCCTGTAAGCCACCTTGAGTCGCCATGGGCAAATAGGCAGAAATATAAATTCAATAAATAAACAAATAGGCAACAGACATTGTGGGCTCAATTGTGGTCGTAACTCGAGGACTACCCGTCCTCTTAACACACCATGTCCACTACCACTCATCTCTCGTCCCTCACCCTCCCCAGCGCTTGAAAACATCATCTACCTTCGAAGGCACAAGGAAATCGTTTCCTGACCACCCGTGAAGGGGGATGAAGGAAAGGAAAGGAAAATAACACCTACAACTCTCCCTAGGAAGAAACGGCCAGGAAGCAGCGGAACAGGGAGCAGTCCGCAACACGGGGCGGCGGTGAGAAGAATACGAGGCGCTCCCGTAGATTGAAAGCGAGGGGGGGGGGGGGGGGGGGGGAGAGCTCAGCAGGTTCAGCGGGCCTTTCAGAAGAGCGAAAGGGGATAAAAGGCAGCGGGGCTCCACCCTACCACGGGGCCACCTGCAAACCTCAGCCCCGGAACGAGTTTTCCTTCCGGCCGCCTTTTCCTTCCCCGCACTCACCCGGCGATGGCTTCCCCAAGCAGGCACAGCAGTAGTAGAAGGAGGCCACCGAGGGAGCGGGGGGACATGGCGGGGGTCTAGTAGAAGCAGCTCCCAGCCCCTACCTTCCTCACGCACCGGTAACCATAGGCACGAAAGAGAACCCCCGGTACAGCGACGCGGCCAATCAGAACCCAGCAGAGAAGGCAACCCGTCATTCGCCGCTGGCCAATCACAATTGCACACTTCACCCGCCACCCGGGTAAGATCGGGCCAATTAAAGTGTGTAACGTCAACAAATAAGGACGCGGAAAAGAGCGCCGTGGTCTCCGTCGTGGCGAGAAGCGCCGTGATGATGTCACGCATAGGTAGGTTTCAAAGAGGAGGCCGTCCGTCCTTTTAGTTCCGTATATTTTAAAGCAGTTTACGCCTGGCCTTCGTTGTTGGTTTCTAATGCTGAGCTCGAGGCAAACAGGATTTTTTTCAGCCTTATCAAAATCAACGAACTCCATTTTTGAAAAAGAAATAACGCAGTTACATCAACGGTAATTCTGACAGTTCATAAAATCTACTTTCTAAATGCTTACCTATGCTCCCCCCACTCCATAGAATTCTTTTGGCACATTAAATGATAACACATTTTGCTAACGCAGACTGGGGCCAGCGAATGTATTTTAAGAAAAACATAAAATGCGTTTCTGTGCAAATATATTTATACAAGAACAATATTTGCCTCACCAGGAGGCAGCATCTTTCTGGGACTGGAAACTAGCCAGGTTGATCTGGTTAATATCGGAGGAATATCTCTATCAATCTATCTTTCTCATGCCTCTAGACTTGGGACTGTCTGCTTCAGATGCAAATTTCTGGATGATAACTAGATGGCAGCAAAAAGAGGTTTCTGGCTGAGATTTAATGGAACAACAACCCCCCCCCCCATGTTTAATACCCTGTCTAGAATGTTAAGTCAAGAGCGTCCTGGAAAATGACACAAATCACTTCAGGATCTATAAGGAGAGACTTTTAATAAAATGTATATATTGAAAGAATGAAAAGTGAAGTCAAAGTATTATCAAATACCTAAACCCGATCATTAAATGTAAAAGTATAAAACAGAGTGGCTGTTCACAATTGCAGTAATAAATACCAACTAATGAGACAACGCTGTAGTGTAGATCAGGGGTCCCCAACCTTGGCAACTTTAAGACTTGTGGACTTCAACTCCCAGAGTTCCTCAGCCAGCTTTGCTGGCTCAGGAACTCTGGGAGTTGAAGTCCACAAGTCTTAAAGTTGCCAAGGTTGGAGACCCCCGGTGTAGATGAAGTGGGAGAAGCAAATGGAGGCAAGTTTTCTGATCCGCCCAATCTACAGAGGTCGCTATTGCGAATTCTTAGTCTTTCAACTGTCATTCCTATTCTTGCCAATGCACTAGAGATACGGGGAGAGCGATTGGTGGCTAGCCTAGCGATTCTACAATAGAACGTCTTTTGAAGCCTACTCCAGGGAGCGGTTTTATTGGTGACTGAGTCAGACGGTGTGCGCAGGCGCGGGAAGAGTTGGCCGTGGGCGTTCGAAAGCAAGTTCGCGTCTGGCGTCTGGGAAGCGCTGGTGAGGAAAGGCGGGTGAGTGCTGCATTCTCCGCCTGGAGGGTGATCTCGGTCTCCTTTTTCATCATTCCATTTCGCTTCGTAGTGGATGCTGTGAGCGCTTGTTTAATAACGTTTCAGAAGAGCAGCTTCTCTCCTTTTTCTTGCAAAAAGCCTCCCCGCTAACACCGCCCAGCAAGAAGAAAGTTCGCAACTTTCCTGCTATCTTAACACTTCTTTTCCTAAGGCTTCTAACCAGGTGTTCTATATCTCCTGCTCTATTGTCCTTATGAGCTCTATTGCTCATATTCTTTATTTTTTATATTTATATTTTATTTTTATTTTATTATTATTATCATTGTTATTATTGTTAATGTTATATTACTTTATTATTTATAGCACGTCCTTAGTTTTTATTGCTCATATTCTATTCACAAGAGGCCAAATATAGTCCTTAAAGAGTTCCAGATTCGTTTACCTCCCAGCCTCCATCACGATTCCCATCTTAAGGACCCTGTAATCCTTTGTGCACATCAGAATCTCCTGAACCAAGGAGCCCAGAATGTATCAGTTTTCCTTAGTGCACTTAATTTCAACATCAGTTAAATAAATATGTGTGAAGTATATACAAATAATACCAATGTAATAAAATGTTAACTGACCTAAATTTTAGTGCAGTAAATAGTACAGTAGTTTAAAGACATAGAAATGAAATAGAAGGAATATTCCTCTTTTCTATTAGAGGAATAAAATAAAATAAATAAAATGGAGCAACAATAGTGCAAGGCAAATTTGAAGAAAGTTTAGAAGGAAGCATACCTTCTATCATACCTGCCTTTATAGGAGCTATTTAATTGGAGACTGAGGCCATTCACAATGCTATGAAAAGTGCAAATTTGAAGCAGAAGGCAGCAAACAGCAGAATCAAGGATGGAGGGACCAGGCTTTTGAATAACAAAACAGTGTGTAGTACAAAACCTCAATAAAGAACTGTATCAATAGTTGATAGAGGCAACTGAGAATGCCTTTATTAAATATTAGATTACTATCCAATAAAATGTTTTAATTTTCTTGTTTGTAAAACAAACATGATCAGAACAAAAAACTTAATAAATTAAAAAGAAAAACACCAATAATCCCAAAGAATATATTTGAAAAAAAAGATATACACATACAAACACAATTCCTGAGAAAAAACCCAAACATTTCAAATACCTGGATTTAATTTTTCTTTTAAAAATGACATGTATGTAGAAAACATGTATTATTGTTTATCAGACTAATAAATGTTGACTGAATTAAACTGAATTTATTATTTACTGAAGAGTTTTTAGAGCAGTTGAGCTGTTAGGGTTTTTTAAAAATAGTTTCCCACACTTTTAAATATCAATGATATAGTTTTTGCAGTCATAAAAATTAGCATTTAACAATTAAATCTAAATTAATTTGTTAAATTAGACCAATCTATATGCATTAGGAAATACTGTACAGTCAGTAAATTACTGCATCATTCATTAAAAAATATTACTGGGTGATTTTTCCAATTTCTTAAAAAAATTATGATCCGACTACCTGGATTCTGATTATCTGGGCACTGACAGTAAAGATGATATGTATCCATTTACTTGTGCCCTATATCACCACTGCAGAACAGTTGCAGTGTGTATAGAATTACTCTGGCAGGATGTAATATGATGCATAGAGTTTTTATATTTATTTGTGGTTGTAAGTTGAGGATTATCTGTATAACATTGTCAAAATTCCCTTATTAGAGGTAGTCCTGAACTTATAGCCACAACTGAGCCCAAACGTTCCATTGTTAAGTAAGGCACTTAAGGGAGCTGTGTCCCATTTAATGACCTTTTTTGCTACAATTGTTAAGTGAATCACTGCAGTTGTTAGGTGAATCATGCAGTTGTTAATCTTGCCTCCCCCATTGATTTTGCTCGTTGGAAGCTGGCTGGGAGGGTTGCAGATGGTGATTAGATGACCCCTGGAAAGTGCAGCTGTCACAAATACATATCAGTTGCCAAGTGTCTGAATTAGATCTAGTGACCATGGGGATGCTGCAATAGTTGTTAAAGTGGTCATAAATTAGTTTTTTCAGTGCCGTTGTAATTTCGAATTGTGACTAAATGAAGTGTTGTAAGTCAAAAACTACCTGTAAAATATGAAATATAAATACACCATTCTTCCAATATTGTTGATGTTCTTAATAGATAGAATTTATACGTTTACAAATGTATTTCAATTTGGTTGATCTGACATCAGGTTGGTACTTGGGTCTATTGCTTTTGTAAAATAAATTCAGAGATCACAGGATTACAATCTACCATTAAATCTCTATTTTATCATTATTAATAATGATCATGGAATAGAAGGAGAAACATATTTGGCGTCAGACACAATTTACATTCTTTTCAGACTTCTGATGATTTTTAAATCTGAATTTGAAACAGTTATTTTTTTACTTTCAAGAGGAAATGGTATTTCTTTAACTGAAAAATGTATTGTTTACTCAATTTATATACAATGAACATTCTGTGTATTTTTTTACTGTGTCTATTTGTTATGCATAGACACCTATCATTTTTCTTTACATATCATATAGTACAGAAGTTACAATATATCGTTTTTTTTCTGATGCTAAGCTTTTTGGAATTATGTATAAATAAAATTCCCTTATTTGAAACCATATAAATAGGCAGTAAAATTAAGCACATTAGAAGTACATGGGTTATTTTAACTGCTTTCAGCAGCTTCTGTAAGAAATGTAATAATGCCAAAATAATATCATAGATGATTTCATCACATAGTGTCATCATTTCTTTCTTTGAGCGCCCTCCCCCCGCAGATGCTCAAGACTGCTTCTGTCCTCTTAAATCATGAGAATGAAAATAATACCAAATCTTGCATTTTGTTTAAATTTTGTCTGTAAGATTTTAATTTTTAAAATTGATGATATCCTATGTCATGATGACTACATTAACATGAGCCCACTAACTTTTTGTTGACATGAATTGAAATGCACTTAAGTCAAACTGCAGTTGAGGTATGTCTGCATTTAAAATCTTCAGAAATACTAACATTAACCAGAAACATTTTAGTTACTTGATTTCTATTTTTACATTAAGATTTTGGATATTCTTTTATTATTCTTGGTTTATCCTTCAAAGACGATACCAAGCAAAGTGGGAGAGAAAAGTCTAAAAGGCTAAAGCTTCAGTGATAGTTTTTTTGAAGCTCTTTTAACAAGAAATAAAGCAATCCACAAATGTTTTTCTTTGTAAGAGCAGACTAGAAATGAGTTATGACACAATGTTGCTTTTTATCTAGTTTACAAGAGATGCAACATATTCAAGCCAACAGTCGGGGTTTAAAATAAGGCTGAAAATTTCAGAAAAAAAATGTTTCCCAAATTTCAGAAATCAGGATAAGGCCACATTGATTAGAATAATATTTTGTTTTGCCATTGAATGAATTTGAAATGTGCTTTGGTTTTATTTTTAAAATGGAACTATTTATGAAAATGCAAACTCTTGAATGATTGATGGATTGATTCAGATTGGTCTCCCAAATGTTCTTTTCTGTATACTTCCGGATTCAGACCACTTACTATGACTTTATGCAAGTAATTCTAGTTCAAGCTAATTGCTAGAGAAATTACTAGGACAAATATGATTCTAGCAAGGAAGAGATTATTGTATTTAATGAATAATTCTAAAAGGGAACTTTAAGAGTGTTTTCTTCATTTGCTCCTGTGGTGAATAAGTAAAAAAGGATGTTCAAAATCTTTCATTGTTTGTATGAGAGAGAAAGGAATAATAAGTCAAAGCTTCTCTTAAGATTCTAAGCTCTGACTTTTAAAAAATGCAGTCTTAGATTCCAAAAGTTTTGCTTGACCTGATAATAGGTGAAATTTAATGTGTATATTTTGGTAATAGATATTTAAATAGGATGAAGTAGGAGAATATTTGAGATGTATAAGATATGCATATTTAAAAATAAGGTAATCAGGAGAAATTAATATGGGAAAATTCATTTTCATGTATAATTGAATTGGGGACAAGTCTGGAAACAGCATTTTGTGGTATTTGTGCTTTTTCAAATTCAGATATATAAACTGCACCTTTTCAAAATGGAGAAACCTTCAGTCAGTTTGTGGGTGAAGATGGAGCCTTTCATAGTGGGAGCGTTGCAAATCCCTCCTCCTTCCAAGTTTAGCATGCATTACCTTCGGAAAATGTCAACCTATGTCAGAATGCGCTCTGGTCGAGGCTATTATCCATACCTTACCTGGTCTATGTGGCGACACATTGCTTGTGGAAAACTACAGCTAGAAAAAGAGCTGGCATGGCTTTACTTTGAGTTGTTTGACAGTCTTGTTGAGCAGACTTCAGAGGAGCGACTGGAGTGGGCAGAAGTCATATCTGGTTGCGTAACTGAGGAAGAGACAGAGAAGCAAAGGAATCGGGTATGAATTGTATTTTTCAAATATTTTTATGGAATCTAAATTTTAATTGTTCATAATTTTTTGTGCTGGTTCTGATGTCTAGTGCAGTCATTGCCCCAAAATGGTTTTTTTTCTTTCTGGTATACATTGCAGCATAAAGCACTAATACGGGTGGATCAGACACTGTTTTTAGAATAATTTAGACTATTTGAAATTTAAGCAATGGTCTATCTATTCCACTGAAGTACAATTTTTTGAATAAAAATCAAATAACCTTTTAAACTCTTGAATCTTTTCTTAGTTATCTGTGGATACACTTCAGTTCCTGCTGTTCCTTTATATTCAGCAACTAAACAAGGTTTCTTTGAGGACATCCCTTCTTGGAGATGAGTGGCCAAATCCTAAGTCAAAGTCACACAGTGGGCTAAAAGAATCTGCCAATCAGATTAAGGTATTGCTTGAACTACTTTCCTCCAAAAATCTCTCCCTGTAGAACGATGCTTTATTCTTTTACTTATAAGAATAACTTGTTAAGTTAAAATGTACTTCCATTTTTTCATATATTCACATTCCATACTGAATTAAAATAAGTGTTTTTATAAAAAGTGGCATTATATATAACATAAACACTTATAAAGTAATATTTGATATCTATGTATAAATTCAAAGCCAACATTAAGAATATAATATAATTACATTGATTTAGCAAACTCTGTAACTTGACAGTACTGCTACCAAGTATGTGCTCTTTAGTTAATGGTGAGAGTTTTTTCAAGATTAGCTTTCTCCTACCTAGTACCCTCAGAATATGTTGAATTTCAACTCCTTTTATCCCCAGTTACTATGAACCATGATATAATAATCAAGGCTAAATCAGTAGATCTTTCCTGTTTCTCAGTGATGCATAAAATTGAATATGCACTATAAATTGATGGACTTTTATCAAAGCACCTTCTTACATCTCCTAATACCACTTTATATATTTTCCTTTGTGTCAGTTACGTATGCAGGTAGTCCTTGACTGGCTACCACAATTGAGCCCAAATTTTCTGTTGTTAAACAAGACAGTTGTTAAGTGAGTTTTGCCCCATTTTACAACTTTATTACTGTAGTTGTTAAGTGAATCACTAGTTATTAAATTAGCAACGCAGTTGTTAAGTGAATCTGGCTTCCCCATTGATTTTGCTTGTCAGAAGGTCACAAAAGGTGTTCACATGACCCTGGGACACTGCAACCATCATAAATATGAGTCACTTACCAAGTGTTTGAATTCTGAACAGCTGACAATAGGACACTGCAATGGTTGTAAGTGTGAAAAATGGTCATAAGTCATTTTTTTTCAGTGCTGTTGTAACTTCAAATGGCCATTATGTGTAAGTCAAGGACACCTGTATACAAAGCATGTATGGATCTTCAGATTTGCTAGCTTCTTGTCTTCTTTTTTAAAATAACAGTAAGAGGAAGCCTCTACCATTCTGACATTGATGATAAGTATGTAAAGAAATCTGCCCGCTTTTTATATTAGATGCCTAATGTAGTTTCTAGCAAATGAATAAGAAAAGATTTGATAAATAATCTGCACATTAGTGACTTCTACTTATATCTTATTTTATATTTATTTCCTCATTACACTTATATCTGGACTTTCTTAAAACAAAGTAGCATACATAGAGCTCCATCTTTCTATTTTATTCCCCAACAACCCTGTGGTGTAGGATAGGGTGAGAGAGAATGATTGGCTCAGGATTACCTAATGAGTTTTCATGGATGAGAGCCTTGGTATCAGTATCAGTCCTGCATAGTAATCGCTTAAGCCAAGAGAACAGTATATACATGTGATTTTGTGGATTGATTTTTGTTTCTAATATTTGTTCTTATGCTTGGTTTGAAGAATTGGAATGACAACTACCACCATGACTTTGTTGAAAACCATCTCCAAGATCTTCTGGAATTGTTACTGGACCCAGACCAGCTCAGTGCCTCCTCTCATTCTATGCACAGCAGCCTGCTATCACCCAAAGCTGTTCAAGCTCTTAGTTTCCTTATTGAAGGAAGTGTAGATCAAAATAGGACTGTTTACCCTCTTCATGAACTTGCCCTTTGGCAGCCATTGCATGCCAAGAGTGGCTTCTCGAAACTTTCCAAAGCTTTCTCCTGTGCCAAATTTGAATCATGGCTGAGGACTTGTCTGACTGGGAACCCATTTGGGGCAACAGCCTGCCTCACATCTGGAAGAAAGCTTGCATGGGCACAGCAAGGTACAATTGTTTCTGACTACTTGATAGGATGTCTCCATAATGACTGCCCAGATTTCAGTTAAAATTTATACCCCAAAGTTGTTAAAAAAATAATAATAATAAACTTCAGGAACGTAAACATTTTTATTATGAAGCTAAGATGCCAATTGAAATGTATATACGAATTTGTGGAGCATTTCCAGCTAGGAATCACAAACTCAATTTTGGTAAAAACTTTGGTAGGTTCCAAGATGCTAAATCATACGAATCAAAGAGCAAGTATGAGTCTTCTATAGCAGGGGTCTCCAACCTTGGCAACTTTAAGACTTGTGGACTTCAACTCCCAGAATTCCTGAGCTGATATGACTGGAGGGGGAATTCTGGGAGTTGAAGTCCACAAGTCTTAAAGTTTCCACAGTTGGAGACCCTTGTTCTATAGTATCTTCATACCTATTATACATTATGGCTTCATTAATATCTATTAAATACTATATACTCATATTTCCTCTTTGAATTGTTAATGCTTTTTATGTTGTATCATTGGATGACTTCTAACAGTACAATACAAGTCTTTTGAATTGTTTTTGTTGGAACCTGTCCTAATTCAGATTCATAACAGTCATTTTAAAGCATTCTGAAATGGGAAATATAAGATTTACAAAGTTAAACATGGTCTGAAATATTGAATGCGTATTTCTAATGCTTCTAATGCATATTTGCCTGAGTTGAGAATAGGTAACATGTGTTTTGACTATTGCTCTGTATTTCCATAATATCATTAAGAGGGAAAATATAGTTTAAGGGTGCATGGTAGATGTGCACATGTCGACATCATAAGGACATTTTAGAGCTTTTGATTTGGTAATAAATTTATGAGTTTTATGACTTAATTTCATAATAAAAATCCTTACTGCTTGGAGTATGTAACCAGAAAGAAATGTAACTTTTTGTTTCATTTTTGTTTAAATATTTAGAAAGCCATGCCTTTGTTATACAGAGAATCTCAGAGCACTGCACATAAATATCAAACATACAGCATAAAATCTTAACAATTTGTACAAGAAAATTAAGTGCTTTTCGAATTATTCCAACCAGCTTGACTAGAATATATTTGCGAATATTGAATGTTGAAGGGTTTTTCTTTCTTTGGGAAATACAGTAAGATACAGCTAAATGAGAGATTTGGGCTTCAATAGACCTATTTTTTTAAAAACTAATATTTTAATAATTCTTCCAGTTGAAGGAACAACTAAACGAGCTAAAATAGCCTGTAATACTCACATAGTCCCTTCAGTTCATCGTGTGATTGTGATGAGCCAGGTTTACAAACAAACATTAGCAAAGAGCTCTGTTACCCTAGAAGATACTCATGTGAGGATTCATCGGTGCTGTGAATCTTTTATCTATTTACTATCTCCACTGAGGTAAGATATTTTTCAGTTGCCAGTATTTGCAACCTAATTAAAAGGTACATGCATGATTGTATTTTGTTGTTTTCAGTCTTCTATTATTGGCTGTTTTTCCTCTTTTTCAGGTCTGTAACCATAGAAAAATGCAGGAATAGCACCTTTATCCTTGGTCCAGTGCAGACTGTAGTACATCTCCATAGTTGTGACAATGTCAAACTTGTTGCTGTTTGCCATCGCCTATCTTTGTCATCTACGAATGGTTGCACTTTGCATGTTCTCACTCCAACCAGACCTCTTATATTATTAGGTAACCAAGCAATAACTTTTGCTCCCTTCCATACCCATTATCCAATGCTTGAGGATCATATGGGCAGAACTGGCCTAGCTACTGTGCCTAACAATTGGGATAATCCAATGATCGTATGTAAAGAAAACTGTGATAGGGAGGTATTCAGACTTCTCCCATCCTCAGAATTTTACCCTTTTGTTGTTCCATTTGAAATGGAGGGAGACACAACAGAAATACCTGGTGGTCTGCCACCTGCATATCAGAAAGCACTGAGCCAACGGGAACAGAGGATACGAATCTGGCAGAAAACGGTGAAGGAAGCAGAGCTGACCAAGTAAGTAAACAGTTAATTTTCCAGGAAAACAGAGTCAGGTGTTGTAATGGCTTTAGCATTAAATGCATCAATATTAATGCAAATTAATAATTTAAATTTGTTGTGTGGATATTGTTTTTTTTTGTCTTGACTTGTAGTCCCAAGGACAACTGTGATCCTTTTATTAATCTGTTTTTATGAGTTTTACACCCATCAAGTAAACCCAACTTGTTGGCTGCAAATTAAAATTCAGAAAATTAATGAGCAAAATATCTTACACACCATAAATGGGGATGAACAATTCTTTTGCAATCAGGGCACTCTACTTTATAAAATAAAATAAAAATAAAATAAAATAAAATAAAAATACTTCAGGGTACAGGCAGTCATATCTTGTGATATCTTCTGAATGGAAGGGAGCCACACATAGGTATCAACACATAATGCATTTTTGAGGGTGCATTTTTTTGGCCTTGGTATTCCTCTTAATTTTAATGAATTATTTTAATGATAAATATTTTGGATATTTTGGGTTGATTAGAGGAGGTCAATAGATTAAAATAAATAATTTCTAAAAATAATAAATAGAAATTATATTTTCCATACTTTTAAGAAGACTGTTTTATTACACACACATATATACAAAATGAATTGAATATAAGTACTAAATTAGAGGTGTAAATCCTAGAAAATGATGGAAAAATGAAAAAAAAATCTAGGCTTCTGCCTATTATCACATCTGTGGAAAAATTGTAAAAATGAATTATTTTGTTTTTCATATTAACTATGTGACTGTTTGCTCCTAAGGAGGCAAGTGTCATGAAATTTCATAGAAAATAAGTAAATGTGCTAAGTTATGCAAATAAATAAATTATGCTCTTCAAGTTTATACACTTGACACAATTTTAAGAACAAACATATATAATCTTATTCTTTTGCAATTTTTGAGACAAATATGCATAGGAAGTAATATAAAAGAAAATAATGTAACCATAAAGAATCTAAAAACAAAATAATTTTATTGTAATATATTTTTTTAAAAGCAACCAAGGAAAAGTGAAAAAGAAAGGAATAAAAAGAACAAAAATTAAAGAGGTTTACAAGTTGAATAAGAATTTTAAAAATAACATTAAATTAGTGCCACATATAAAAGTGGAATTATATCAACTATATTATGTTTAACCCTTTAAAACAACTGCCAACATCAGATAATTATTATCAAAGGGAATTAATGCAAGAAGCATCACTCAAACTAAACAACATGGACTTCTATTTAATTTGGGGAAGTTTGTCTTTATTTTAATAGATCAAGCAATTTTCTAAAGTCTTAGGCAAAGAGAAATCCAAATTTCAGGTGTGATACAAATCTCTGTGTAGAATTATGGTTCATAATTCATTTCTAGGTTGAACTAATATCAGACTTGTTTTGTTAACGTTACACTGGTGTATACTCACAAATGATCTACCATTCTTCTAAAAAAAAGTATTTGTAATTTTCAGTAAGAAACATAAATGGTTTTAGCAGCTCGCATCATGGACAGACCCAGCTGTGTCTATTTTATAGGAATATATTGTGTAGTAGTGCTTAATAAAAAAGTTGATTTTAAAAGTTTGTTTCATTCTACATTGATTCATTTTTTAGTTTTATGACATTGCTACTAGGTATGAAAAAATTAATGGAATGCCTTTTACTGGTTTGTTAGTCTTATATTCCATGGACTAGAACTTGAGTCTCCTGACACTATAACCATTAGCAGCACAATAATTGCTGAAACTTTTTTTGAAACATTTTCTCGATTATAAGTTTTTATATAGGTTTAAATGATTCCATTTTATTTTAATATTATAAAAATCTTATAAAATCTTACATATTATAAAAATCTGAACCATACCATAATAAATTAAATCCCTTAATAATGATACAAAAAAAATGTGGGCAGTGTGTTTGTTTTCTGAAGAAAAGATCTAGCGATAGGAATATTTACATAAATGTATACAGTACAGAGCTAATCCTTTCCCTGGTTTCAGGAATCAGAGGAAGACATTCCAGATGTTAGTGGAGAACAAATTCTATGAATGGCTAGTTCACACAGGCAGCCGTCAACAGCTTGATAGCTTGGTACTTCCTGCTGCAGGATCTAAACAGGCAGCAGGATAGGAGAACCTTTAAAGCAACCAAATCATCAGGTGAGTTCAAAGGTCACATAATGCACACATAAAAACTTAGTATTTTAATATAATATGAACAATTATTGCTCTGTAAGTTAGGTCAAAAGTTGCCTTAGGCTTTGGTGATATAAGTGAGGAATATATTTCTACAAAGTATAATTTATATTTGGTATTGTAAGATTTTATAATCTAATCTCTAATTGTAGATTTAAAAAAATTCTACCAATTAAAGATTACATTGATTACAAATATCTTATTACCACATACGATTTTTTAAAATGCTGACTTCCTTTTCCTTATACTGAATAAAATGTATGATGTTATTATCACCACATTAAATATAATATTTTTCTATTTTCTGTTAAATACAGACATCTCAGAATTAAAATAAATTATGATTCTTGAGTTCATAATCCAGCCCTCATTCTTTCATAAATGTTCCAGAGGTATCGATTTGCAATGCCCTTTTATCTTAGAATGAGAAATGCATGGGATGTATCCTAATAGTTTTTATTAATTAATTAATGTCTACTTCTACTATATATCTACAGACAATTATATTTTTTTCTGTCAAACTATATCACTTAGCAAAGTTTTACTTAAGCAATTTCTTTTACCTCATCTGTTATACAGTCTGTTTCTGGTTTACTGACTGTCCTAGTATCATTCTCTTATTGTGTTCAGCCTATTGCAATCTTGATGACTAAGGTTTTTTGTCATAACATTCAATGATTGTTTAATTTAACTTATATATAAAACTACTATTAAGAAGATCTCACCTGTCCTCTATGACCCCCCCAGACCTATGGCAAAGCCAGGTCTTGAGAGATTTCTGGAACATTAATGGAACGAAACTCACTTCATGGGGGAACATATTCCATAAGGCAGGCACTATAGCAGAAAAGACTTGCCGCCAAGTGTTGTTCCCTGTATCATGTCTTCTCTGATGAGATGAGTAGGTGTAGTTGGGAAGAGGTGGATTCTCTGATAAACTGTCCCATGCCAATATAGCCCATGGAGCAGAGATGTAAAATGTGCTGTTCTAGAATTGCCTGTGTTGCTTTCTGCCCTAGCTGAAGCTTCCAGATATTCTTCAAGGGCAGTCCCATCTAGAATACATTATGGTAATCCAGTTGGAAGGTGACTAGGGCATGAGTGACTATGAACAGAGTGATCCAAACCAGGGATGGGTATAACTGGTGCACAACATGAAGCTGTGCAAAGGCCCTGCTAGCATGACTGCCACAAGTCCAGGAGGATGCCCAGATTATGCACTGATAAGTTTAGGACAGTGCAATCTGATCCAGCATCAAATATATCCTAGTACTACAACTAGAAGGCCCCAGAACCTAGAACTACTCAGTTTTTCCAGGGTCTGAAACAGCATCCTATTATTATTGTTGTTGTTCGTTATGTATTTGTGATTGAAACTATCAAGTAAACGGCTACTACCATGTGATTGGAATGTGATGAGACTGCTGATTCAACAATTTAACTCTCTGTTTTGTTATAGCTCTGGAGATGATGCACTGTGCCAAGTGAAAAGCATTTCCCTCATAATAGACTGGGGACAACTTGAAGTTTAGAAACATGAATTTGCTTAATGGCATTATCAAGAAGGAAATGGATTTACTGCATATTTCACGTTATATGATATCATCAGTTGCTCTTCATTGTATACTTGAAAGCAAAATGTAGATTCCTAGCATATTTAAATGTGCAGGAAAAGGTTTTACTTTCTTGATGTAAAGATAGTGGCAGTGCTCTGACTGCTGGGTGAATAATTTTTCTGTTATTAATTAAATATTGTTTATATTAATGTTTCTAAATATATATTTATATCAATTGTTTAGCACTTCAGGTGTGAAATTTAATTAAATTGACACAATGAAATTTTGTGCCTTGTTTTCTTTTTTCAGATTTAATGATGTAATAACACTTATTACCATCCCTATATTTTGGGAAATATTCTTGGATTGAATTCAGGCTTAAAGTAGGCCCATTGAACTATACAGGTTTAAGTTAGTCATAAATAACTAGTCAAAACTAAACTGATTTTAGTGGTTACCTTTTAATATTACTAAATTGCTAATTTTTCCATTTTGAAAGAAGTGGCAGATTAAGGATATTCCCTCTCCCCCAACGTTTGAAACACTAGAATTTCAGGTCAACTATTTAAGCTGGGAGTTTCAAGGTAGAAAAGAAGAACTATTTCTGTGAGGGGCAGAGGGCTGATTTTTTTTTTTTGAAATGCTTCTTTAGTGTCCACAAACAGACAAAGGAAACATACTCCTACTGATGTTCTCCTGAAACACCCCCTTGAAAAGATACGAGCTCAACCCACAAGATCTTGAGATCTTGATAGAGATGTGCTCAATGCATTTTTCTAATCTCTTTTCAAAGCCATTGGCGTTAACAACCACCCATGCTTTTTTGTCTACGTGTAACTTATGTGACTTATTCCACAAATTAATTATGTATCGCATAGGAAGTATTTTCTTTTTGTTTGTTCCAAATCTCCTTCCAAACACCCGCATTAGATGGCTGGTAGTCCTTGTGTATTAGAATAGGGAGAATTTGCTTTCAGTACCTGCTAAGCATGATTTCATACTTGTAGGATTTTATATATATTTTCCCTCAGTTGTCTTCTTGCAGGAACACATGGCTCACATGGTTAGGGCTCTGAGTTAGAGGTTAGCAAGCTCATGTTGAAATCTGTGTGTTGCTATGGGGCAGGGTGAGTTCCTGTCCTTTGCTCCAGCTCCTGCCAGGGACATGAAAGTTGCTCCTGGCTAAGTGTCCCCTGGGAAACTGGCTAATCCTTTCAATCCTTTCATTGCTTCATTGAGTGTGACGTCTTCTTTCCAAGCTAATGAGTGCTAAAACATCTTATAAGAAAATAAGCTTTTTCTAACATAACTTCATTCATAACTTCTAACAGTGGAATACACAGTGATTCTTGAAAGATTTTATAAAATTCTACAGGAAACCCGTCTGGACCTGGTGCCTTTCCATTATTTTGTTTCTTAAGTGCTTGACTTAACTCCATCATTGTTATATTACTTTCTAGCATTTCTTCAATCTCTTTAGGTATCTTAGGTAGATTTGCATTCTGTAGGTATTGTTTAACTTTCTCCTCATCAATGTCTTCTTTCTTATACAAATGCTTATAAAAATCATAAATAATCTCTTTTTTTTCTTTGCTGCCATAACAAATTTTACCTTGGTCGTCTATTAACTGCGGTATTTTCCTCGACTCTTTCTCCTTTCTCAATTTGTATGCTAGCCATCTACCTGGCTTATTTGCATCCTCAAAATAATTCTGTTTAGCATTCCTAATTTTCTGTGCCAGTTCTTCTTTCTCTATTAAATCCATTTTATGTTTAGTTATATCCAGTTTCATTTTAACATCTTTTCTGTGTGGCATTTTCTGTAATTCTTTTTCAAGTCCCTTATATTCATCATCCAAGGCTTTAAGAGTTCGCCTTTTCCTGTTGTTCTTTTTTCTTGTATAGTCTATTATCAAGCCTCTAACATAGGCCTTCATTGTGTCCCAAACATTCTGTATTGAGGTGTCTTCTTTTCTGTTCTCTTTAAAGAAGAAGGCCAATTCTTTCTCCATCCATTGTATAAATTCCTTATCCTTTAAAATAGAATTATTTAATGTCCATCTCGATCTTTTCCTTTGTCCCTTCCATTCAATTGTCAATGGGTTATGGTCAGCCCAAGTACTTGTTTCAATATTTACTTCTTGAATACTAGACATTAAATCTGTTGAGATCCAAATCATATCCAGTCTGGACCATGATAGATGCCTATTTGAATAGAACGTAAATTGTTTAGATTTATCATTTCTTTCTCTCCATATGTCTTTTAAAGTTAATTCATCTATCATTTTAAAAAAGGATTTAGGAAGAGTTTTCCTGTTATGCTTTACTGTTGTTGCAATATAGTCAAGTCTATTATCCACAATTCCATTAAAGTCTCCCATCATAATTACATTAGCATAGTCAAGTTCGGCAGTCTTAGTATGTAATTTTCTATAGAATTCTTCCTGCTTATCATTCGGTGCATAAATTGCAATCAAAAGTATCTTTCTATTATTGTCCATTATTTCTACCATTAATATTCTCCCATCATCATCTGTATAAATCATTTTGCTGGAATGGCCTCTTTAATATATAAAACCACCCCTCTTTTCTTGGATTGTGTCAAAGAGGTAAACAATTTCCCTAATTTTGGTTGTAATAACAATTGTTCATGTTGCTTTTTAATATGAACTTCTTGTAAACAAATTATGTCGAACCTTAATTTCATTAATTTATGGAAAATCTTCCTTCTCTTAGCAGCTGAATTCAGTCCATTTATATTCATTGTAATCAATTTTTTTTCTTCCATAATTATGTTTTATATTTAGATTTAACCACTCTCGTGGGTCTTGCCTCACGTTGATCTTTAATATCCACTTGTCCACCTACTGCACCTTCTTCTTTTCCAACCTCCATTTGTTCCTCTTGGGATTCAATTGATGGGACCTCCTTTCCTGCTCCTCCTTCTCTGCCTCCAAAAACCTCTGCACAAAACAGTTCTGCTTTCTCAATTGAATCAATTCTATGTCTCTGTTCCTGCCATGTAAACATCAATCCTTCTGGAATCAACCACCTGTAAGACACCTCTTTTTCCAATAACCTTTTAGTCAGGAATCGGTATTCTCTTCTCATCTCTCTCACTCTTCTAGGTATTTGTTTTAAAACCAAAATTTCTTTACTTTTGTATTTCAGTGGCTTCTCTCTTGCTACTTGCAATATTTGTGTCTTCAAAGATTTTTTAATAAATCTAATATGAACTTCTCTGGGTAGGTTATTTCTCATCGCATATCTTGTAAAAACTCGATATATCTCATCAATTCCATCCATCATCTTCTCTTCTGTTATCTCGAGCGCCTCCGCCAGAATTCCTACCATTATCGCAACCAAATCTTGTCCTTTTTCTTCTTCTATATTTTGGAATCTAAGATAAAATTCTGATCTATCCAACTCCCACTTCAACATCTCACTTTTTTCTTGTTCAATCGCTGTTAATCTATTGTCGATATTTCCAATTTTCTCCTCTCTTTGTTTGCCTCCCTCTTCAACATTTTGGAGTCTCTCTTCATATTTTTCCATCATCTGTTCCATCCTACCTGTTCTTTGTTCAATAGTATCCATTTTTACCTTAAGATCTTGAATTCCTTGCATAATCATCTGGAAGGATACTCTTTCTTGTTCTTTTTCTTTCTCTTTATCTTGCTTTAACAATGTCTGAATTGAGCGCTGTCCAGATGGTGGGGAGGCAGAAGCAGACATAGAGGCACCCGAAGATATAAATTTCTTACTCATTTTAAGTGGTTCCAACTCTTCAAGTTTTTTCAAATTTTAATCCACAAAAAAAAGAGAAAAAAATATGAAATTATAATCCAAGGTAAAAAGGCCAACAATAAAAAAGCCAAAAGTGAGAGAAAAAAAGAAAAAAAGAAAAAAAAATTCTTCAAATTCTTCCTGACCTTAGTCCAATAAAAAAAGAAAAAAAAAACCATAAAAAAAAGTAACAGTAAAAATAAAAACCCAATAATAATAATAAACAAGACAAAGCCAAAAAGGAAGAAGGGAAGAAGAAAAAGAGAAAAAACAAAAAACAAAACAAAAACCAAGAAAAATAAGTTTCTTCAGATTCCACACCTTAGTCCAGCCAGAAAAAAAGAAAAAAAAAGAAAAAACCTCAATTAAAAAAAGGAAAAAGAAATAGTCCGCTAATGTACATTAAAAAAAAAAAAAAGGAAAAAAGAGAAAACAGGATCCAAATAGGCAAAAGAAAAAATAAAATCAGTTAAATCAAAATAAAATATAAGTAGAAAAAAGAAATTCAGAGGCTTCCCTTTGCAAATAAATCAAGCTTAAAAGTAAGGACCTTGATGTTAGTGAAGGGGTTGGCAGAACTCAAAAAAAAAACAATAACACTGCACTCTATTTAATTATCCAAGGCTCTAATTATAACTCCCTTCTCTTTCCCACAAGCTTCAAAGCTGAGCCATGTATATCCAGAAAGACACCTGTAATAATATTCCACAGAGTGCTTTCCTCTATCTTATCAGGGGATGTCCTTGAGAAGAAGAGTCTATTTTTTTTTTTTTAAATATTTCCGAGCCTCTAGGTGGCAGTGTTACAAAGTATCATAGTTCTCACTTTCCCCCCTCCTCTCTTAAGGGAAAGCCGGCTTGCAATACACAAAACAAAAACCGAAAAATCAAACAAAATCAAGAGAAGCCTCTAGCCCAGAAAAAAAAAAAAAAAAGTCCAGAAGAAGAATAAAACATATGAATATATAGAAAAAAGAAAACAGTCCAGTTATCCAATAAGTAACAATAGAGTCCGGAAGCAAAGAAAAGAAAAAAAAATGGATTCTCTCTTTGACGTTTCCCTAAAAAAAAACGCCGCTAAATCAATTTTGTCAAAAAACAAAACAAAAATCACACAGGTTTCTTCAGATAATTAGAGTAAACTTTCCAAATTCAAAAAATTAAATAAAAAAAAGAAGTTCTCACCCAACCGACAAACTCTTTCTCAAACTCTTTCCGTCTGGAGTCGCCCCGGCCTCAGCAGCATGGGGGCTGCCTCTCCGCCGCTGGCAAGAAGAGCTTCACCCGGGCTCTCCAGGGATTTTGCGGTATCCCCGGAATCCTCAGGATATGCTCTTCGCGATGGCTGTCCCTACGGGACAGCGTAGGTCCGTTGGACCGGCCAGTGGCGGAGATATCGGCTGCAATCGAGGAGCTCGATTGCAAACCGTATCGCCACGGCGCAAGCAGAAATTATGGTCGCAAAATTATAAAATGACAATGTCTACAGCCTATAAAGAAAACTTGTATAAGATGTTTTACAGGTGGCATTTTCCCCCGACAAGGATAGCAAGAATGTTCAAGAACAAATCCGAAAAATGCTGGAAATGTCATCAGAAACCTGGTTCATACTATCACATGTGGTGGACTTGTGAGGATGCTAGAAAATATTGGACTAAAATCCACATGTGGCTGGAAAAAATGACAAAGAAGCATATAGACTTGAAACCGGAGTTTTTTCTATTGGGAATGCTACCAGATACTTATAGTAAAGAGTTGAAATATTTGATTGTAAATGTATTGACTGCTGCTAGGATTGTATTTGCAAAAAATTGGAAAAATGAGAAAATTCCATTGCAAGAAGAAGTTGTAAAGAAAATTTTGGAATGTGCTGAGATGAGTAGATTGACTTTTGAAATTAGAGAGCAAGAAGATAAACAATTTTATTTAGTTTGGGATCTTTTCTATCAATGGTTGAATGATGAAATATTAAAATATAAAAGTTAGATAATAAGGAATAATAATGACTTTATTTTCTCTTTCCTTTTATTGGTTTTTGATACTATATTTATATAATAGTTTTTTTTTGTTTCTTTCTTTTTCATATTTGGGATAGAATTGGTATGATTATAAGATTTGTTTTAGAATAAAATATTTAAAATATAGTTATCTCATAAAGGCATGACCGAATAAAAGTTTAGTCAAATTTTTTTTTTTTTCTTTAATAGCGATACTAGGATTTATAAATTTGTATTGATAAGAGTATTATATAAAGTAACTGTAATTGTGACTATGAGGTGAATGCACAAAACCGATGGACCAACCGACTTACGGTGTGTACAAAAATATGGGGGAGCTGATACTTTTATGTTTTGTTGTTGTGTTTTTTATGTTAAAAAAATAATAAAAATTTATAAAAAAAAAAAAAAAAGAAAATAAGCTTTTTCTGCACTTTTCCAGTTTTGCTAGATTCCTTTTCAAATGCAAGACCAATATAGTTCTGCAGAAGTGGATATACTGTATATATAAAGGGATTTCTATTTTTTGCACCTTTTATAATAAAAAAGATAATTATAAAAAATAAAATTTTTATAATGCTCTTAGCATGGGATTTTCTTTTTTACAATTGCATATGTTGGAAATACACTTTTTACATATCTGAGATGATGGAATGTAGGCAATAGTATGTTGATCTGCAAATTAATCTCTAGGTTAGCTGTCCTAGTTCATATAGAATGGTGTGAGCATGCTCAGGTAAAACTTGGGTTTTGTTGTTTTAAGGCTTGAGTTGAGGGGAAAAAAGATTAACTATGTCCATTGTCTTCATGCCTTCTTGAACTATTCTGAATTCTGCTGAACATTTCTAGAATATTGTCTACCTACTGTCCTTAGTCAGATCCTATGAAACAGTATCCTAAGATACACTGAAATCCTTGCTTATAAAATCTTAGATTTAAAAATGGCAGGTTTGAAAATATTCTGTGACCGATACCCACCAAAACTATGTAATACCAGTTTTATATATACAAGTAGTTCTTATATAACAACTGCCTTGTTTAGTGACTGTTTCCAGTTATGACAGTGATAAAAAAGCAATTATGTGACCACTCCATATTTATGACCTTTGCAGATTGGTAAAACAAAAGAAGCCCGAAGTAAGATCGTAAGCCCAGCTGCAGTTTCAGTTAGCAATGATTTCACTTAGCAGCTGAATTTCTGGACCTAATTTTGGTCACTAAATAAGCACTACCTGTATTTTCTCAAAATGGAATATACTGTATAAATCAATTTTGTATAGAAACTACGAGCTATAAGCTGTATTTTTATGAGTGGTTAAAGAAATATTTTAGTTAGTTAAACCTACAACAAAATATCAGAGCCACTTGTAGCCTTTTCCTTGGAAGTTTGCAAACAGCTAGGAAGATACAGTACTTTACTCAATGGAAAGTGTATTACTTCAGTTAAACTCTTGCTCCATAGAATAATAGCTCACCAGGCTACTTTCCTCATTCATGCATGGTTCCCATGTTTTCTGGCATTATGTTCCACTAGGCTTCCTTTAGTTGAATCCATTATTATATGTAATCAAAATGGGGAACTATTACCATCACTCAATAAGAGCTGCAAGCACTTTTTATTTTGAGTATTTTTGACAGGAGTTTGGAGTTCTGACTCAGCAATGCATTCACAAGCCTAATGCATTAGAATGAGGAAAAATAAAGGGAGAAATGAAGCAGTGAGGCTTGCTTTTATTTTATAATCCTCTTTGTTTTTCTAGAACTTCTGAATAGCCCCAGAATCACTGAGTCAATTTTGGAATCCCATTTTCATGACAAAGCAAACATTTATCCTAAAAAATGAGCCCATTATAAAACAAGACTTCCTGGTTTCAGCTCTTGCCGTTACTTCTAGTCTCTTTTCTTTAGAAATACGGCATCCAGCATTGATCATGTTTAAAACTGGAAGCAGGGTAAGTTATGGTTTCAGTCTAAGGATATCCTTCTTTGTCGTTTTGTTTGTAAGAAGATGACATCTGAAGATGCAACCTGCTGGTGAACTTGGCAGAACTAAGATAAGCAGAGTAGATGAGGGAGATGTTTCCCATCTTCTGTTAGAAAGCAAATTGTTAGGGAATAAATGAATGCCTGAAACTCTTTTTTCTAACTTTCATCAAAACAGCTACTATTTTGTCAAATTAAGGTCTATCCGTATTTGAAGATGGCATCATCGAGAGTATTAGATACACCTTACTTTTGTGATACTTACTTGCTTCATTCTGTGGAAGATAAGAGATATAGAAGTTCTGAGACTTACTGGGGTGATCTTGAAATGAAGATTTAGTCTTGCACTAGGACCAGTATGTTCCATGCAGAGAACAAGTATTTCCAGCTGTTTCACTGAAATATTTGTATGTTACAGAGGTAAATCTAGCCAGACAATCAGTTTAATCTGCAGTCCCACGCAGATACAGATATCATTTCCTTCATGTTAGTCAACAGGCCCTATTGTTTATTAACTGAGCAAGTTCAAGATTAGAATCTCAGCAGGGCAGTTCATCACTATCCATAGTTTACTGTGAGAGGGTAAATGAACAAAAAAAAAGAGAGGAAGATTTCCATGGTGCTTTGGATTTTGGGATGATTTACGAAAACTACCCCTGAACAGTTCCCTAAGAATGGCTTACCTTAAACTTATAAAAAGAATATACTCTGAGCAATTAATGTAAGGTATTTGTTTGAAATCGTATCACTCAATTTGAAGTAGAGTTGGATGCTTTCCTGTGTTTGTTTTAAATAAGGTGCCCAAGAGAGATTCAAGTTTAACTATCTTTCTGATACATAAGTTGAAAGCTTTTGAAAATATGGGAGAGAAACTGTCACTCACAGGAAGGAGTTTTCAAACATACAATTCCCAGATCTTTTAACAGATGTGTATCAGGCAAAGTTCAGGGGGACTTTGCACAACATTGTGTCTTCTACATCTGAACAGTTTCTCCTTTAATACATTAGACATTTACATTTGATGTGTTATTGCTGCAGTGGTATTTTTTTAGTACCCATTTGTGTGTGATCCCAATATCTTCCCCTGAGCTTGTATTCTGTGTCTGTTGTTCATTTAGTTCATTAGTTGTATTTCATCTTTGTGGAAATGATAGTAGTTTCCCATATTCCACATTCACTCTCTATTGTATTTTCTCCAGTACAACCTGCGAACCAATTAGACTCATACTATTCCTTTTCCCAGGCTTGCACCATTTTTTTTAAAAAAATCCTATTCAGATATATTTGTTCCAACAAATATTTTTGTCCAAGGACAAATGGCAGATTGGATTTGTGCACTTTTTTATTGGGAAAAAAGCTCTCTGCGTGTCTCTGTGCAAACTTCTGAAGGACCAACCCCTCCTCTTCTCTCCCAAAATGGTTTGTTTCACGTTTCTTTTTTCTTTTTAAGTTTAAAAAGGACAAAATATAGTAACATTCTTAAAGGGCCACTTTAGATGGAACGTTAATCAAAGTAAAGATTTCTATCATCTAAAACTTAAACTTCTGATTTTAAATAAATAGTTCCTGGACAAAATCGGGAGATAAATTCAAGCAGGAATATAGCTGAGAGCAAACATTTCTTCCTGTAGCTGGTGTAAGTGTTGGTTTTTATAGTGAGAAATGAATATGTGAGCAATCGGATCCCTTGCCCATACCATCTTATGGGCAGCTTTTATTTAAGCGATTTCTATACTTTTCAAAACTTTGATCGACTGCTTCAAAGGAGACACCTAGTTGGGGACTTGGAGAGGTCTTCCACATGTTCATAATTCTAGATATATTGTATGAATAGGGATTGTGTGCTTTGATTTTAATATAAGTTTGGAAAGAGCAGATGCTCAGGGCAACATGAAATTCCCTGTTTATACCCCAGATACTAAAAAAAAAAAAAGAATCTTCGTATCTTTTTTGTACAGTTGGGTGAAGAAAAAAACATAAATTGGATACAAAAGATAAAATATATCTGTCCTCATGGTTGTGGGATCCTTGGTGCTCTCAGAAAGCACCAAGGACCCTACCGTTCAAGCCTGAGCAAAAATATTCTTTTCTGTCATGTCCTCAGCTTGGTGCTAAAGGTATGAAAAGGAAGAAAATATTGTAGATATAACAGATACTAATTTAGAGCCATAAAGTCTTGACAACTTCAGAAATTATATTCCATTTACAATCTTCCTGTACAGTAAAAATAGTAACAATACCCACAATAGTGATAATACATCACATCTATGCCTTGTATTCTTCTGAAAGATTGAGTGTTATGCATCTACATTTTCTTAATTTTACCCTTTTAACAGTGAACTCATTGAAACTTAAACTATGTCTCTTTGATACCAATCCTCAACCTGAGTCACTATATTACACTACAGAACTTTTTTTTCTTACACAAATCAACCAACGGAGAGCTATTAAAACATCACCTGGAACAACCTTGCAACCCAATTTTACCCTCTGTCCCCATGATACTGACTTTATTTTGTCTCCAAGCCATAAATGAAGACTTGCATATTACTGTTCTTCATACTGCAAAATGCCAAAGTGTCAGAACAAGGCATTTTTATACTACCAAAGCTGAGATCTGTAAAACTATTATGTGGAAAGACTCAAAGGAGAGAAAGAGAGAATCATGTCTTTTATTGGTATAATAGCTGTTCATTCAGAAGTCCTGTCAATCATTTCATCAAAACTGTATCTGCTGCAATGAATTAATGCCATAATGAATTTTTGATTATATGGGGATAATCAGCATGTCCCATGTTAGTTGTATCTTTTCATAAATCTTCTGTTAACTTTGGCATTACCTTGGCACTTAAACATCAGCGGTTTTGGATTTAACCCCCCCTACTTTAAACACCAAAATAATTTAACATATATTATAGTCCCCTATACTGTAGGTTTAATGCATGGGATCAAAAGATATAATTTGATATCATCAGCAACTTTGGCATTTAGTTATCCAAAGCACCAACCAATAAAAGGGATATGGTACAAGCTTGAGTGCAAGAATTGCTCTGGGTAGTATTCATCTGCTACAGAGTTCAGACAAAGCCTAGTTTTGCAGAAACCTATTTCTCTCTCCTTTGCTTGTGTTTCAGATTACTTTCTATGAAGGCAAGAATTTCCAAGGATGCCGCTATGAGTCTGATAGGGATTGTTTGGATTTCCACACTGACTTGAGCCATTGCAATTCCATCCGTGTAGAAAATGGTGTCTGGGTTGTTTATGAGCAGCCAAATTTTGCAGGAAACATGTATGTTTTAACCCATGGAGAATATCCTGAATATCACTGCTGGATGGGTCAAAATGATAGAGTCAGCTCCTGCAAATCCATTCAGTTGGTGAGTAGAATAATTTGTTTGTTTTTTCCCTTCAGAGAAACAATCTCTTACAAAATATGGTTCTTCTTACCATGTTAGTTCACTTCCAGTAAGCTGCCTGTGAAAGAATGTAAACCTGGTCTTGGAAAGAGTAAACGGGAGGTGGGCAATGAACTTACAAGTGAGGAGAAAAGACCGCTCAATTCTGAGAAAGAGGAAAGCCTTCGAATAATCCAATATAAAACAGATGTGTGTCTATATACCCACACCACTTATAAGCTTATGAGTACACACACACACACATATTTTGGCACAGAAAAGTTGAAATTATACGCACAATTTATAACATATTATTGAAACACAATAATTTATGCTTAGCACTAGCTGCTTTTATATCCAGAATGTTCTTCAATTGCCTGACAAGCCAATATTTTCAAGTGAAGGACATCTTTTACAAGTTATACAAAACATATTTGCTTAGATAAAGAAAGAACTCTTATTTGTAATAATCTTGGATGAGAGAATTTATTGATTTATTTATATCTTTTATTATTTTTACAAATAACTCATGTGCAGTATCTAATATTCCTTCCTCCTGTTTTTCTCATAATAATCTGTGAGGTGGATTGGACTGAGAGAAAGTAATTGACTCAAAGTCACCCAGTCTGGTGCCACTAGACAAATCTGACTTAAAATTACATTTTAATACAGCTAATAGAAAATAAAGTTGGACTTGAGCAATGAATGAAACAAAACAAAAAGAAAAACAAACTCAATAACATTTTAAAAGTATCCCATGAGAAAATTAAAAATGGTAAGAGACTTTTGAAAAATAAAAAAATGAAGAAAATATTAAAAGAGAAACTTTTTTATTAAAAGAAAAACTTTTTAAAATTTTACCAGATCTCCAGAAGAAACATACAGAAATGACGTATAGGAATTCTCCTAAAACCGAGGAATTCCACCTCCATCTTGATTTAGTAAACTAATGGCAAGAAAGGGATTTCCACTAAATCAATAGTCTGCCAAATGATGACTGGTATTTTTGAGACCCAAAACACAGAACTATACTTTACATTAGAAACCCTACTTTAATGATATAGCCATCTGAAAAATTCTGGATTTTGGTTAGACAGGCAATTAGTTTGAAGAAAATGTCCAATTTTAACTGAGTGTGGGAACATGCTATTTCTGTATGCTTCTCTCCCTAAAATTGCAAAGTTTGCAGTTTTTCTATAGTGTGAAAAACACAATTTACTCACATTGATTGGCATCAGTCTATGCAATCCATTGGTGTTTGCCTAAAGTGATGCTGAGATTCTCTTTTCTGATTTTTCACCCTGCTACTGTTGATATTCATCCTTAAAAGGTCTGAGGGAGACAAGTGCCAGGAGAAATCAGTCTTACTGGCATTGTACATTTGGGGCATCAATTGGTTTATATAAACTTTTCTTGAATGGCTTTGTTTCTTCTGTTGGTGCACTTAAAGGTTCACTTGTTAACAATGCCATTTACAAAACTGCGATGCCATTCATCACCGGCTTTGAAAGTTATTCTCATGTGATCTGCTGTTATGCTAACTGCTGACCTCAGTCTCACTGCATACATTAAAACCACATGAACGTTGCTTCACAGAGTGCTATTTTTTCTGCCATTTTCTTATGTCTTCCTGTTCCAGTTTCAGCTTTTTTACTAATAGTATTTACATTTTAACCTTACTTTTTAGTATATGGACATCTCACAGTTTATTTTTTACACCATACTAATCTTATGCAGTCGACACTCCTGATTTTAATTTTACAGTCAATTGTTAGTTTACAAATATTTGCTCTTTTTCTTTGCTGGTCCCTCTCCTCCAGCCATATCTGATGAAATTTTATCTACAAATACAAATTTAAACACCAATATTTTTGGCCATTAATTCACCTGAAACTCAAACTGCCGCAGTTAAGAAGCATGTACATTTTAAAAGGGAAATATAGAACATTGTCTAGACTGTTACAAGTACAGGGGAGTTTGTTGTTGGGCAAAGTCCGCTATTACTTAAAAATTTATCCATTACATCTGAAGTCTGTTAAATTGAGGATCATAGCCCTGAGGATCTAATGTGTGTGTGCCTGTGAATGCACGTGTATGTGTGTGTTTGTGTATACCTATTACTTCACTATTTACTCATTTCTTTTATGACGGTAGGTATAGATCTATTTAGATAAATATATTATTCTGTGGCCTCTGAATATTATTATTATTATTACATGACAATAATTTATATACACTGTCAGAGGACAAAGATTGTAAATCAGTATATATTAATTTTACCACACAGGTTTGTACAAGTTTTGAGTTTGTCAGAGATTTTCATCTGTCAAAATATTACTAAATTCAAGATTTTGGTAAGTTAATACAGAGATTCTGGTAATAATGCAGAAGCATTATAGCATAGCCCTCAGAATCTGATACATCGTAGAGCAGCTTTCCCCAATAAGATACTTTCTAATTTGTTATAGTGAAAATGATCCTATAGTCTCCATTGTGACAGAAAAAATGGAGGCCACCTGAAGTTAATTACAATGTAGTTTTATAACACTTGCCATCGGTGATAAATTTTTCTTGATCATCACATCACATTGTAATATATGGCAGAAATATTGCTGAAATTATATTAGTAAAATATAATGAATAGATGTATTCATCCAGCGGTGTAGCGCATCATATCTCCAACTACAAGGTATTATTTGTGATAATGAATATTCTCCATTTACATTTTAAGAGAAGGCAGAAAAGTTTGTGTTCAACTCTTTAGTAATCTGTATATTCTTTCTCTTCTTCATTACAGACTGGTGGAGACAAATATCAGATCCAGCTCTTTGAGAAGGGTGACTTTAATGGTCAAATGCATGAATCTGCAGAGGATTGCCCTTCTGTGATGGAGAAGTTTCACCTGCCAGAAATTCATTCTTGCAAAGTTCTGGATGGGGCATGGATTTTCTACGAACATCCCAACTTCCGTGGCAAGCAGTATTTCTTGGAGAGAGGGGAATACAGTAAACCCACAGAGTGGGGAGCAGCAACCCCACTGGTCCAGTCCTTCCGCCATATTGCAGAATAATAAATAGCATGGAGTCTGAAACTGATATGATAGAGACTTGATGCCATACTTGTGGGCTTCATGATACCTGTCATTATTCGTGGTATATGTGTCCCTTTGAGTGATCCTTTAAAGGAGATGACTAATCTCTGCACTGCTATTTTGGAAAGATAATTAAATTTATTTAGCATCAAAATCAGAGTGAGACTGATCCTTTTAACCTTGTCTCATATCTCCTTAGTTAAGATTTAGATCATGGGTGTCAAACTTGCCACATTACCTTGCCATCACGTGACGTTTTGTGATGTTTTCCCCATCCGTGGAGCTGGAGTGGCAGTAACCTGTGTGTGACGCATCCAGCCCGCGGACCGCCAGTTTGACACCCCTGGTTTAGAGCACTGTTTCTCAACTTTGGCAACTTTAAGCGATATGGATTACAACTCCCGGAATTTCCCAGCTATGCTAGCTGGGAAATTCTGGGAGTTGGAGTCCATGCAGCTTAAATTGTCAAGGTTGGGAAACACTGGTTTAGAGAAAAGATAATAATATGGTTAAAAGTGAGATATGTGTGTATATTTGAAGATGTTTTAAAGGATCTCCTTTCCTGAATAATTCAATAATTCCCGGTTTAGTAGATAAGTGAATAAGCAAAACCACTCTGAGGAAGTTTTCTCAGACACCCTCCAAATTTTCTGAGCACAAAAATCCATGAAGAGGTTGCTTTCTCTCCTTTCACACTGGCAGCTCCAATGTCCCCTTTCTCTTTATGTTTAATAATGTAGATGGATGTACAGATGTATATCACAATCACAATCCCTCTTTTTCCTTCAAACATTCAGCAAATACTAGGGAGGACAGAAGAGCCATTTGAAAATAACAAACAAACCACTATCTTAGGGCAGCTTCTTTCCTAATGGTGTCCTGCAGTTGTATTGGGGAATCTGAGGCTTGAAAAATCACCTAATATAGAAATTCCCAGGATGAAGTTTAGCCAAACAATAGCTTTATGTACACTAGTTAAATATGGAGAATATCTAAATAAAAGATAAAAACTAATAAAGGAGAATATTTGTAGGTCAGAGCTGAAATAAAGGATCCTTGGGTGCTCTCTGAGCTTGCTGGTTTTCTTGAAGACATTTCATTACATCATCAGCACTGATGATGCTGCCTAGTTTGGGTAATGAAACATCTTCAAGAAAACAAGCGAATTCAGACAAGAACCTCTCAAAAGATACACTATTATCTCCAGGCCATCTGTTTAGTCTCTATTATTGGAACCTAATATCCAGGCAATAGTTTGGGAAACTATTAATAGAAAAATATTTCATACTTATACTAGCTTTTCTGAAAAAAAGAAAAAGAAAACTTCAGTTCCTTTCACCAATAAATGCTTCTTGTCCACATGCTGGGGTGGGGCAGAAATTTGAGGTTTGTCCCCTTTATCCTGAAACAGAATTTGGGAATTAAGTTCATTTATTTATTTTGGAGAAGCAGTAGGTGTGAGCTTAAATTGACTCTGGAGGATGGTAGAGGACAGGAGGAACGTTGCCCATGGGTCAATACAACTTAGTAACTAAAAACAACAACAATTCATTTTGGAACATTGTAAGCTCATTTAACTTACCTAGCCTGTGGTTAAATTATCTAGGATTAACTAAGGGGTGATCACATCTTCATCGAAATTAATACAATTATAGCTGCTTTCTCCAATCGAGACTGAACTTTTTTTAAATTCTCTCTCCCCCACCTTCCCCAGTGTATAGGTTCATTATTTTTCTGTTCCACATAGTTGTGTTTCATTTCTTTGCCACCAGATGTCCTCCATTTCCCTTTTTTCCTTAACTGGAACAATTTTTGAAATGTTTGGATAAACTCAGTCTGTTTTCCCCTCCCATATATATTATGCCTCAAGTCCTAGAAAATAACAAATGTTGATTCTGTTGATCCATTTTCTGTGCTGGGTACTCCAGGGAACATGTGCATTTTTGCATAAGAAGCAAGAGAAAGGGGACTTTTGATAATGATATTCAGCACATAAACTGTGCACTTTTATTACATGGGCCTCGCAGACTCCTTTGGTTTGATGTATGAGGTTATTAGGAAACTATGAAACTGGGTATGTGATGCTTGTCAGGAGCTACAACAACACAGCTTCTATGAAAACACTGCTGATCAGGGACAGGCTGATCAGGGAACAAGCACACACACACACACAAATACACACACACACAGACTGACTGACTGACTGGCAGGGAAGAGAGATTGGAACTAAGCTTCAGTCCTGCTGAAGGATAGGAATCAGTGGAAACACGATTAGTGTGTTAATCTTTAAATTGTTGCTACAAGTCTCTGTAGACTTTCTCTACTCGCATTAACCATGACACAGTTATATTCCAGAAACCACCTTTATTTCATCAGTGTCTCTGTGATGTGGCCTTTATTTTGTCCTCAATGTACTCCTTGGATTAGTAGTTTTTGTATTTATCCACCCAGGTAGGCAAAAAGCCAGGGTAACTTTACCATGGGTATAATCTGGCAATTTTGTTGGGGTTGTAGCTAGGTGATCCTATGATATGAGATTAGCCTGACAATTATTGGCCATTCAGGCCAGGATGGGCATATCCTTTCCCTCCAGTCCAAGGATAGCAATTCTGCTCTGATCAATGGGAGAGTCTAGACCTTTCAAATTGTTCTCCAGGGAAGTTGGAGTGAAGAAGACAGACCTTTACCATTCCATTGTATAACATTACCCACACCTTTCAGCTGTTTTCAGGTTGCTTTGAAATATGGGATTAATACTCTTATGGAAGTGCACCCAGCCTGTTTTCAGCCTTTTATGGGTAATAAATATGGATCACACCATTTGACAATATTTTGCTTTTTGAAGGATAAAGAATGGCAACAGGGGCAACAGATGATCTGCCAGCTCAAGGACAAGTAATTGCACTTTTAATCTTCTGTGAAGAATGCCCCTTTGTTTCTTCTGCAATAGACTAACAAGGTTGTCTATTTTCTGGAGTTAACAATACCTCATTGGATTCTAGTCTCCTGTGACAAAGTGAAATGAGATAGGCTGCGAGAAATGCCATGTTGGCATTTAAAGTGAAGACCAAAATGGCTGATCATTTGGATGATAGGGAACAGTTTAACCCAGGGATAAATAACCTGTGCTAGCTAGGTAGCCTCACACTGAAGTTCTCAAAGCCCTTCTGGAATGTGACACTAACTTTTAAGTTTAATGTGACAGTAATGGAGTTATTATGTTAATGATATTAATTTAATAACAAATAAGTTTTGACCCAGCCATCTCAGTTTTTGGAAGGATCTCTTGCCTGTCATTTGAAGGACAAATGGAAAACTCAAATGGAAAAAGGCCGACTAACTGTCAACTCTGAAGCAAACCTGGCTGAAGCCATCTTGTGTTGCTTCATAGTTGCCATGAAACCTGAGAGAGGGAAGGGAAGGGGAAGTAGATAGCCCAGTTAACAGTCAAAAGAAATTTTTTTCCTGTGGGAGCCAAGGTCATCATAATAAGTAGCTGGTGAAGGAGGAGAAGAGCCTTCCAGCTGTATTCATTGGACAATGTGACAATGGAGGGGGGGCGTGTTACTCTTTTAATTAGGTGAAAACTGCGGGAACCTTTAGAGTTAGTTTTCACCGGCTGTGCCAATATGATGTACCCATCAAACATGTTCTTTGAGGAATCTATCTGCCTCAGAGTTCTGCTTTTAATGGATGTTTTACTCAGAACGCTGACACTACCACTGTTTTACACCATGACTTTCAGTTGATTTGAAACTGGTCTAGCAACTCAAGATAGAAAATGTAATATGTCTAAAGTGTCTGGGCTAGATTAGAAATATCAACTATACTCTCAGCCACAGATAAGTGATGAAATTTTTCTGAATTTTTCTACTTTATCAGCAGTCAGGAAAAATAAAAGTACCATTTTCCCACATGTATTTCATGTGAAAAGAGAAAATTTTGAAAAGGCAGCAGCATAACTGTTTTCTTTTTGACCCTTTTGGGAACCTGTCCTTTATTTTAGGTCCTATTCCATGCCACAAATCTAATATGGGGACAAGGATGCCAGATGCAACTCTCTCAAGAATGAAAAAAAAGGACTCAAAATTATTCAGTTTATATTTTACAAAAGATTTCTCATTTTAAGGACAAGGTAAAGAAGTAGGAAATTGCATAATTTCTTTGCAACTATGAGCTGTTTTGATCACTAGGGCAAATGGTGAAAGATAAGGAGAAGGATCTTCAGTGGTGTTCTTGTATCTGTTTGACATCTATTTTTAATAGATAAATCTATCTCTTAAACACAGAGAAAGAAGTGAATTTGTTATCTTTCTCTCTTTTATGCTTCTTTTGCTTCACAATATATTTTTAAAATCTTCATATGTTTCTTAATCTAATTTTGACTTCAGATATAATGAATTCACTGGCAGCTGGTTAAGTTCATATTCTTCATCAAATAAAAACGTATTATGAGTATTTTTAATGGAATATTCTGCTACTTCTACTCACCATTCTTTCAGAAATCTGCTTATGTTCAGAAGCATATCCTCTAATAAGGCTCCTGCTGAATTCAAATCTCTAAAAATTGAAAAGTTCTGAAAATTCTGACTCATACGAACTGTTGCATGCTGCGGAAGAATCAAGCTCAGTGGTGGTATTCAGCAGGTTCTGATCAGTTCTGTAGAACCTGTAGTAGAAATTTTGAGTAATGTCCATCACGCCATGCTCACAGAACCAATAGTAAAAAAATTTGAATCCCACCACTGATCAAGCTGATAACATTTTGGTTTGTTAGATCTTGAATTTAACTATGCATGGTCTGAACAAGATGGTAACTAGATAGTATAGCACACTTCACTTTTTGTAGAAGAGAGGTAGTAATCGAGGGTGAAATTAAGCATGTCATCAGCTTAGAGTCATTACGTTGCCACAAAAGGTCCAAGTCCAAGCCCTCTTCAATTTTGTTGACCCTTATCTGGCGCTAATTTAGTAGAGAACTTCAGTTTACTAGATTCTCATCCATAGGCTTTGAACTGCAACTTAATGTATAGTCTTGACACTTTGCTCCTGATACCTTTGCTACAATTTGATGAAAAGGACATTATTCTATGGGAAGAATAATATTCTATTAGGCTGATGAATTTACATATCATATTTTATATA